AAAATAAATTTCCTTCCACTGCTAGCTTTCGGCCCTCTTGGCACTGCTAGTCACAAAAATAAGTGAACAAATAAAAGATTTAGCCAAACGGATGGTAGTTCACGGCTTTGTGAAAAAACGGTTATTTTTTTTGTCGAATAACCAGCCCAATGAGTTTGAAAAGTGAACTAATTACCTTGTCACACAAGAGAACTTAAATAACCTCAGGAAATTGAACAGGAAAGCCAACGATGCCACTAGCCACTGTGCTTTGCTTTTAGTGTACCGCAAGGGTATGATACACAGGATCAACAGCAGGCCTAACCAGTCAAACAAGGTCATCCACTCAGTGAAATATGAATTTCTCTCACTGCAAAAATATTTTAAAAGGGTTCATTTCGACTTCTTGTGCTTCATACTTCTTAGCAATATATAATTTTTATTCAATAAGGGTAGACTATATTTGTGAAAGGATTATTTTCGACACATGTAGATACGAAGCAAAATAAGTAACAGTGAAGGGTAAACTTCCAATCATGTTCTGCGAAAAACACAAACAAACAAGTGAACTACGATACGTTTAACAGTTTGTATAACGTTCGCTCACAGTAGCGCAGACATTGTATCTTCTTTTTCATGAAAATTATCGAGGGGTATTCTGATGCTACGTTTCTGTAGTAGTTTAATTGTCAGTAAGTCCTTTTACTTACATTCTCATTTGATTGATTTCTTCGTAGATATAAAACAATACCATAGAGAGGGTGACCACCTCACAAAGCCCACGAAGGAAATCTGCCCCGCCCCTGTACTGAGTGGGGTCTGGTTTGGTTGAACCATACAGCAGAGAATATGACAGGCACAGCAAGAAGATTACATATAATCCTGCTTGAAGGCTGTTGAAATAAACATTACCTTTATTAGCTTGCTACACGCCGTAGAGTACATATAACGCCCAAGCCGAGTACAAATATCTTGCGGTATTTGTACTCCAGAGAACCGCTTAGATAGGTTTTCTCGCATCGAGCAAGCGAATTCGATATAAGTTCCGAAAAAAAAAATGGCGGACGGTTTAAATTAGTTTCCGGACGACGAAGAGTCGGAATGGCTGGCGAATATCGATCCAAGTTTATTAGATAACTCGAGCGAAGAAAAGCAGGAAGACGACAGTGGAGTTTCATCATTTAGAGAAAATAGAAACATAACACATCAATTCCGTTCCGCTTTGCATACTTCTGTCACGCACTCCCCGTAAAAGAATATCCGCGAAATTCGCCCGCACTGAAATAACAATTTGGTATGTTTAATAATAAATAACTTATTAGACGTTTTGGTGTGTCGTATAGCTGAGCAGTTTTACTCGTTATTTGCACAACTCGTGAAAATACTCAGCGATACTACACAACAAAACGTCTTATAAGATACATGTATTTACATACACCTAATTGCAATAAGGTTGTCATAGAAAAAAGCAAAAAGCCAAATAGGAATTATCTAGCCATGTGATTTACATTTGCGTACTTTAACAATTTAACAATTATTTAAGATGTCATTCACAATAACAAGACATAATTCTGTAATTCCGCGATTAGAATGACACCAAGAAACTGAAGCGTGAGTGTTGTGAATGTTGCAAGCAATGATAATTAAATGCTAATTAATTCCTATTTGGCTTTTTGCTTTTTTCTATGACAACCTTATTGCAATTAGGTGTATGTAAATACATGTATCTTATAAGACGTTTTGTTGTGTAGTATCGCTGAGTATTTTCACGAGTTGTGCAAATAACGAGTAAAACTGCTCAGCTATACGACACACCAAAACGTCTAATAAGTTATTTATTATTAAACATACCAAATTGTTATTTCAGTGCGGGCGAATTTCGCGGATATTCTTTTACGGGGAGTGCGTGACAGAAGTATGCAAAGCGGAACGGAATTGATGTGTTATGTTTCTATTTTCTCTAAATGATGAAACTCCATTGTCGTCTTCCTGCTTTTCTTCGCTCGACTTATCTAATAAACTTGGATCGATATTCGCCAGCCATTCCGACTCTTCGTCGTCCGGAAACTAATTTAAACCGTCCGCCATTTTTTTTTTCGGAACTTATATCGAATTCGCTTGCTCGATGCGAGAAAACCTATCTAAGCGGTTCTCTGGAGTACAAATACCGCAAGATATTTGTACTCGGCTTGGGCGTTATTTGTACTCTACGGCGTGTAGCAAGCTAATAAAGGTAATGTTTATTTCAACAGCCTTCAAGCAGGATTATATGTCATCTTCTTGCTGTGCCTGTCATATTCTCTGCTGTATGGTTCAACCAAACCAGACCCCACTCAGTACAGGGGCGGGGCAGATTTCCTTCGTGGGCTTTGTGAGGTGGTCACCCTCTCTATGGTATTGTTTTATATCTACGAAGAAATCAATCAAATGAGAATGTAAGTAAAAGGACTTACTGACAATTAAACTACTACAGAAACGTAGCATCAGAATACCCCTCGATAATTTTCATGAAAAAGAAGATACAATGTCTGCGCTACTGTGAGCGAACGTTATACAAACTGTTAAACGTATCGTAGTTCACTTGTTTGTTTGTGTTTTTCGCAGAACATGATTGGAAGTTTACCCTTCACTGTTACTTATTTTGCTTCGTATCTACATGTNTGTCGATCTGATAAATTTGTGTATTTTAAAAAAAGTAAGCTTATTGCACTTGATTTGTATTTTCTGTTCAGTCTTTTTATGCGCTTGGAGAAATTAATACTACGGAGTTACATTCATGTACATCGTTCCTGATATTAACAATGCATCAACCCTAAACAAATACAAAACAATTTTACCAGAGAAACCAGTGTCCGTAGCTTTTCCACTTTGTTTCGATCAACATTCTGACCACTGGATGCTGCAGGGCCTCCTTAAAGTAAAAATGAAGCAAGAATCTGTGAGATGAAAATGTGAATGTAAGAGAAACTAGTGTCTTATTAAACCGGCTGTTTTCATAGGCAGGCTCAATCATGGCAGATTGAACTGGCATTAGATAGCGTACATGCATAGACGCAAGGAAGGAGTGTGTTAACTTAAGGTTACTAGAAACCTTCGCGGGTCAAATTTGGCCAAAAAGGTTATTTTTTCGATAAAAGTTTATTTATTGAAACTTAATCGCCGCTTGGCGTGAACTCCTCAGCGACTATTTCGCGGCACACAGCTTCACTGGGCGATCCTATTTCAATTCAACTTTCGTTACTCTCGCGTTTTGAGTGCTGCACTTTTCGAAAATATATGAGTCAAGGCCGCAACATGTGACGGAGCAAATAATCCCTGGTTCAAAACATAAAATGCGACATATATGCAAAAACTGAGCTAAGTTTTTCTTACAATTAGACAATGAAAGTGTGAAGAGGCAGTGAAATATTACCTTTAAGATTTTAGGTAGGAAGTTGACAGCTGTTTTTTTTTTTTTCTTTTGTTCTACCAACGTAAAACAAAGCCATTTCGACTCAAACTTGAATAATAACATAAATCAGCGTTACTATTTATCCAATTCTCTCACGCATTATTCAAATTAACGTTCACGGCATTGTTTGTGGAATAAAATGAACAGACAACAGCCGTCAAATTCATATCTTCAGCCATACGGAAAGCCCTCTTGGCGTCTCCATGCGACTCACATGTCTCAATGTCAAACAAGTTAACGTACATTTTTGTGTATATGTTGTACACAGTAGAGAAAGAAAGAGAAAATTCCAGGGAGCCACTTTCTTAGAAAAACCAGTTAACTTTCAATTAAGGAACGAGAGATTTTATACTAGGAGGTACTCTTTGTTCGCCCGGCTAATGCAACTCGCCAATACCAGCAACTGGTTCGAAAATTACCGCTATGGCTCAAAACATTTTGAAAATTTGTCAGGTGAATTATATTCGTGATACAATTAGTAGAACTTGATTCAGAGCTCTTTCTGTAAATAGTTTTTCGTACAAGCTGAAAAATCAAGAGTAAACTTAACGGCGTAATTATTAATAAACGGCTAGATTTAATTTGTTGCAATTCACTCAACCTAAAAAACCAAAATCATGAAGTTGAGAAAAAACCGTGAAACATTTTACGAGGGTGTTCCCGGGATCTCCCCAAAACGTTATCACATCAATCGTCAGTTGCCATGTAACGCCCAATAGTTCAAACTTCAAACATTTAGTGAACGTACGTTTGAAATTCGTTCTTGTGAAAAGAGGGAAAGTTGATTTTTGAGTGTTTTGAACAGACATATTCGGTAGGCGTCTCTGAGAACTGTTTACAGCCACCATAAGGTCCCTGTCATCAGTCCCAGACCCCCTTTCAGACCTCTTTCCCGCGGACGAAAAAGCGCTCGTGCTGAAGCGGTAACAATGAGGGCTTACTCAGAAGCTAACTCTGATGATAAATAAAACCCTGCTTATTATTTCTTTATCATTATCACTTCAGTAAACCTTACCATGTTATAGCTTTTTCCAATCACATGTAAACAAGACTTGTCTCTCCAGTTAAAATACTCATTATCTGCTTGTTGTTCCCCTGCTGACAGGTTGATATTTGGAGGTCGTCCTCCCTCATCAGCATCCAGTACATGATAACAAAACTGATAATTCAAAGGATTTTCAGTCATTGTACTCCAGACCCCTTCAATTGCCTCTTTCTCTTCTTCACTCTCGTACCTTTCTTTACGTTTTGGAAGATGCGGCCAGTGCGGGATCACCATCTGATCTAACACAGCTACCACTGTTTTCTAAAAAGAAAACAAATAGGTCAAAATAAATTCCATTAAAAAGTTCATCATTGGTATGTATTAATTAAGACGTTATAAATATGCGCCTACAAATAAATAGGTGAAAAAAATGTGTTACCAAGCGCTGTCCCTTCAAGTTTCTCGCATTCTTTGTAAACATAAAGGTCCTATTCCTATGCATATCTAAGATATGCTATTTTTTTGGGGCCTTAGCAATTTATATTTCGCACTTTCAGCTTGCCTGCTTATTAAAGATTACCTGATGCAGTTTGAAATTTTTGTATCATTATATAGTCCTTTGAAGGATACATTTTCAAGCTTGACCACTTTATAAATACTTGCAGGGACCATAGATAGTTGAATATAATTAATAACCCTTGAGGAAGGTGTCTGCCAATAGAGGATCTAATGACTAAGCAAGTAAAACAGATCTTATCAAGGGCTATCAAAATCCGAAAAAATAAAGGGGGGTAGCCACGTAATGTTTCGAGTTAATTGGGTTTGAATTATGAAAAAAGTGCTGATGTTGCATTTGTAAAAAAAAATAGCAAAATAAAATTTCCACATCAATTCATTAAATTCGAATTTTTTTAAAGGCAAAATCAACAGTATATGTAAAAATCTTTAAAATATCAAGCAAATGCGATCTTCAGAACAAGGCAATGCAAGTTTTTATCATCAAATGATTGCAATGAGGCTATATTAACCCTCTCATACTTGCACAGCCAAAAATGCCAGAAAAACAGTTTTGGCACTGAATGAATGCACCCGTGCAGCGTGATTGTTCTGCGTATGAGAGACTTTCCCCCTACCTCCCCTACTAAGTAGTACTCGATTATTATTACACTACTCGGGCAGTCAGAGGGCCAATAACTAAACTCAACCAATCAAAATGCTCTATTGCCGGTCAATATTCTCTCAGTATTGGACCGGGCACTGTCCCGAATGGTCCCGATTGATACCGCACTTGTGTCCCTTTGAACTTCAGTCGTATGATAAATCTCTTATTAACCAAGCTTGCTCGGGACCGTACTGGAAGAATATCGGCCCTCGGTCTTTTTTGTACGGACCTCGCTGCGCTCGGTCCGTACTGTCAAGACCTCGGGCCGATATTCTCCCAGTACGGCCCTCGCGCTTGGTTAATAAGATATATATGTGTAATTGTATTTCTCATATGACATGAGGTCCGTTTTGGGAAAAGGAAAAGCTCGTCCCAAAAACCGACCTTCCAACTGGTAAGCTTTCCTTTCATTCGGAATTTCAAAGTAGTTGGCCATATTTAGGCACGTCTATTGGGTCAATTTTGGAAATGCGTAACGCGTCTCAGGTAGGAGAGAAATACAAGACGAATATGACAGAATAGACGATCTATTAATTTAGCCTGTGGGTAGGGGGAGAACAGCGCAGGGCGAGCAGGGACAAAATTTAATGTGAGTCAAGCGTGAGT